TAAAGATAGTCAATGTGCAAAAAATGGCTGGACGAGCACAACATTGAGAGCAAACCAAAAACACACATGCATGTGAAGTTCACAGCACGAAGTCAAGCTTCGAGAGCCAGAGCACAAAAAAATCCTGGCACAGGAGACTGTTTACATCCTTCTTTTGGACACATTTTGGGCCAACTAAGACCGACTATTTGCCAGCGGTTGTTTCTGTGCTTGGCCGACACAGGTTTGTAGTGGAGCGGAGGACAGCCAAAACACATGACCGCTGGGCAAAGAGAGGGCGAGTAACAAAAAAACACAGCGAGGTTCATAAAAGTGGCTTAAATTAATAACAATGCAAAACAGATGGTGCGTGGCATTTCCAAAAGAAGACTGCGATCCACAAATGTGGATTCTCAACGAGAAGGCCAAATGTGAGGTCATGTGCGGAGGTGCGCAAAATATCTATTAATAGGGCCAGCTGTAAACATTTAGGGATTTTTACGATCTTTCTCCTCTCATTATCTGCAAGGTTGTTAAATTAGCCTTGAGCTAATTTAGTCCTGGAAATGTGGTGTTGGTTTGACAGGGCCGGAGGGAGGTTTGGCCGTTTTGCACCTTATTGTTGAAATGTGGGATTACGGCTGTGCCTGTATCTAAAAGCTGATCTCAGAGACTGAGGGTAAAGCGAACGTGTAAATAAAGGGAGCCGAGGTCAATTATGTGAGCTCATGTTTGGCAGTCGGTTGTTTTGTGCTGTGAAATCATCGTCCTCCTTATGAGGTGCGGGGAGAGACGCGCAGCTCAAGGTCACCATCTCTGCCAGCCGGCCTGCTTAAAAATCACAGGACTCGTTACGCTAACAAATATTTGTTGTAAGCGGACAACAGATGTAGTTCATGTATTAAAGGGAGTACATATTTCAGTCAGAAGATGAAGTTAGGTCGTAAAGTATGAAACTATTGATGTATCGTTGAAAATCAAGGGTAGAAATTCATTCACCCAAAAACATGTTCATTAGTGAAAATATGCACCTGTGAATACGACCTATGTTATGCCATCCATGTCTGAAAGACAATAAATGAAAACAGTAGGTCAGAAAAGTATTAATGTTTGAGTGTGTGTGTGTGTGTGTGTGTGTGTGTGTGTGTGTGTGTGTGTGTGTGTGTGTGTGTGTGTGTGTGTGTGTGTGTGTGTGTGTGTGTGTGTGTGTGTGTTGAAATAAATGAGAAATATTTAGTATGAATGTAAAAGTAGAATGTTTTTTACTTCAATAAAAAAGTATATGTTTTTTATAAATTTTTGTAATTGCTAAGAAATATTTTCTTTGACATTTTGATGTTACTACAGCAAATCTAATAGAAAGTAGAAAAAATTATTAGAATGCAAAACTTGAAAAGAAAAAAAATAGTAGGTCAGTTATAGAGCTGTGTGATTTTGCTTTAAATGAAAATGTAAGGAAATGAAACATTTTCACAGAATTACAATTAATGAAGGATTGTTGTATTTATTTATTGAGTTATTTTTCCCCTTATATTCAGTTACAAGTTTGCACAGTAAGGCTGAACAACGAGTCTATCGTCTACTTGACCAAAGATGAGATGTGGCTGCAGAAGTTGAAATGAGCCAAAGCCTTAAACTTAGCTGGGTCACGAGACATGTATATAAATGTATATAATATAATCTAAAAAATGGTTGTAACTACCCGCCGGTTAATAAAACACTCCACGCTTCCAAATACTGATGTCCATATGGATTTTCTTTATTGAACACCGTGAAAACTAAAAGATAAACAAATAAACAAACCAAATGTTTCACACAAACACAGATCAAAAGGACATCAAATAAACAAATAATATATAAACAATGTTTAGTTTACCGTGTTGGCCTGATAAGCAGCTGTAGAATACGAAGGAACACTAAACAGGTGCTTGCATTGAGATCTCACTATCCTGAGTGACCATACAAACTGTGGCAGGTTAAATCAATCAATGAGAATCATGTGACTTCCCACTCAGGCCAACCGGAAACAAAGAAATTAGTAAGAAACATATACCGATACACATTCAAATAATGAAATTCAAAACGATAAACAAAATTACAAGCTGACCAATCAGCATCAGCTACAATGGTCCTGGAGAAATTGGATTGATTTATAGGTTCCGAATGTGGAGTTTGATGACTTTTTGATAAATGGGCCAGCCCTAGTCAATTATATATCGACGACATGTATATGTGGGTTGTTGTAGTAAAGTAAATAATAGAACCGTTGTCAGAGGTAATTATTTGAACTGTTACATGAAGTTATTTTGTGCTAGGTAATAATTATAGTCATGGTTTTGTTGAAGTTTGTGCATTAAAATAGCTAAAATTGAAAGCAAAAATAAATATCTTTATTTGTAAGTGTATATAAATGAAAAAATAAGCTTTTTTATTTCTGATTGAAACTCGTAATGTATTTATTGTCAATTGTTTTTGTCACTTTTACTTATGTTTTAAAAATATTGTTTGTTTGTTTTTTGTTTACAGTGAATGTGGCATTCCGTGGCTGGCATCTCAAGCAAAGGGGTTAAATAAAATGAGCTTGTTCTTCCAAACAAGAATGTGGACAAGTAAGTACCAAAAAAAGTCTTGATTAGAAAGAGTTTAGCTTTAGTTTGGTAGAGTTGGAGGAAATAAAGGTGGTGACTTTTGTTAGAGCATAAGCCAAGCAAGGGCGTCGTCGCTACTGGTTCAACAGCGAAGCCCTCTGCTTTTGTTTTTTTCTCTCTAATGACTGATTTGATGTGCTATTAGCGTTTACCAAAAGCCACGGTGCGGCAAGCTGCCAGTTACAGAAGTTTGTTGCTTCATCACTCATTTACCAGAGGAGTCTGCTAACCACTCAAAAGAAAAGCTTTTGAGTATATTGATTGACCAGATGGAGAGATAGATTGCGAAAGAGCGGTTTTGTCATTGATTTGACCATAAGACTGTCTGCTGATTTTGTGAGAGATGGATGGGTGGAAATTAGCTCAGATGATTTGAACGTAGTATAGATTTTATTTAGATTGATTATTTTGACAGTAAATATTAGATGAGATATTTATATAATAATAATAATATTAGATGTAACATGATTTTTATATATATATATATATATATATATATATATATATATAAAATAGTAAGGCAATTGTAAAGCAGTGTGCAGAAATGCTGAACATAAGTGTGCTGTTAGGTTTTGGCATTGAGTTTAGTGAAGAAAGGAAAAATGGAATATTGGAGTTTTGTTTGCTTTGATATGATAATGCTAGGTTAAAGACAAGTGAGTGTATTTATCTAAAGTGTGAAGGGTAAAAAAAAAAAAAAAGCTTTTTGAATTGAAGACATTTAATGGATGGTGTGAAACAATGTCAGCGTAGAAGTGTGTGTGTGTGTGTGTGTGTGTGTGTGTGTGTGTGTGTGTGTGTGTGTGTGTGTGTGTGTGTGTGTGTGTGTGTGTGTGTGTGTGTGTGTGTGTGTGTGAAGTTAGAAGTGTGATTTACCAGTGTGTACGAGCAAAGCCAAAAATAATAATATAAAAAAGATTTATATTATTATTATTATACATATAAATATTGTCATTATGATTGGAAAGATTATTATCTGAATGATTTAATTATGAATTATGAATGAAAAGGCTTAATTTATAGGGCAGGATAAGGATTTGTACATGTTCATTGTCATCCTGTATATTTGAGCAGTCTGCGTTTGAATAAAGTAATATATTATTATATATTATGCTAGTATATGCTGTACTGTAGTATATACTAAGTAAGTATAGTACATAGGCTATATATAAAGGAGCTGACCGTGACGCTATATATAGTGATTTGTCAGGTCCCCGCTATATGGAGCATTTTCGTGCAGCAGCATGTTTTCGTATGAAGCTCATTAGGTAGAGACGAGGCGATGAAACGCAGGCAGCTCGAGGTGTTGTTTTAGTAAAGTAAGTTCGCTCGTGCAAATCGCAAGCGTGCATTTGGTGACGTTAAACGCAACCGTGTCTCTTTTTGCAGAAGCAGGACGGGGCTTTAGCGAGATTCGTGCGATGTAACCCTCGGGCCAAACTCACCTCTCCCTTCCCTTTCGCAAACATCAGCAAAAAAGCTGAGCCTGACCAATGGCTTTTACGCTGGGCTGTGCTTTACGAGCAGAACAGTCTGTACAAACACAGTTACTCCTGCCTCGGCGCGCGCAAAGCCAATCTCAGTGGCTAAAGTAAGTGGTGTGTTTTCCTTAATACTTGTCTGATTGGACAAAGCGTATGTCAGTATCTTGGCTTTCCCCCCCCCCCTCCGCACGGGACGTGTCCTTGTTTTTTTTTCTGAATCGAAGCAAGAGCTCCGCGGGTTGCTCGTTTGAAACGGCAAACTTTTACGCACAAACTTGTTGCACGTCGTGTTAATAAGAAGAGCGCGCGAGCATGCAAAGCTAGGGTGACTAAACGAATAATGCAGAAAACGTGAGGCGTTACGTAGGACAAGAGGACTTTTTACACGGTAACCCAGATAAACATTAGAGGTGTCGTGTCTTTTGCTTGAAACAATGTAAAGTAAGAGATTGTGTTCGGGCCAGGGCGCTTTACAGCAGAGTAATGCGAGCATCTGAAACCTATCACAACTGTACTCCAAACACCGTGGGGCTAAATGGGGATCTGTCAATCATTAAACAGAGCTTTTGTTGCATTCGTTTGATAGGAAAAAAAAAAAAAAAAAAAAAAAATTATATATATATATATATATATATATATATATATATATATATATATATATATATATGACAAAATACCAAAAGTATTTGTGTGGGGAGTTTGTGCATGGCAAATAAAAGAAATGTAAAGTAATACTACTACTACTACTACTACTACTACTACTAATAATAATAATAATACATCCTTTATTGCAAAATAGCAACGCAACATTTGATGTCCATTAACAACACACCACCCCCCCCCCCCCCCCCCAAAAAAAAAAAAATTGATATAAAGAAGAGTCAGGTGAAAGGGTCAATGTCATGATGGTTTAATCGTTTCATTTATAAAGCAATACACAGTCCACATCATTTCTTAAAAGGCTCAGTATGCAACCTTGCACAAATGGATAAAAAAGGAGAAAAGGAAAATTACAAAAAGAAGTAATAAGAGAAAATGCACAAATGCCACTTTGGATAGTCATAAACAAGAAAAAGCTTGACATAAATAAGTTAGTATAATTTCCTCAGTGTTTTTTTTATCCTTTTAGTTTTGTTTACGAGCACATGTACACTTGAATGTTTTACACAGGCGCAGTGTAACGTCTTAATTGAGTTTTCATAGAGATTTGCAATCATAGTGCCATGTCATGTTCAACACGAAAGCCAGATATATCGTTGCAAAGAAGCGGCTTCACGGACTAATGTTGTTGTTAAACGTATGGCCCAGTGTTAAGAGAAAGTACTAACTATATATATATATATATATATATATATATATATATATATATATATATATATATATATATATATATATATATATATATATATATATATATATATAGAAACGTAAAGCTACACGCCAACGAACGTAAAAAAGGCAAAAAATAATCAAGGGATCAATACAGTTGCTCTGTTGTATCGTGTACTCAGTAGGATTTGTAGTTAATGAGAAATTGATACGAGGATGCTAATGAAGCGAAATAAATAAAGTAAAATTAGTGGAAGAACCCAAGGATAATATAATAATACTGTAAAAAAGCGCGAAACGTTTAACAGCACACTAAGAGCCACAGTTCTCATGACCAAGGTGTGTTTGAGTGTGAAAAACCAAAGAAAATGAGCTTAAGTACCAATAAACATGAGTCGCGTTAATGTAATTATCGAAGCGGTTTAATGTAGTTAGGTCACATGAGGTGAGAAGAAAAGTAACGGTTTAGACGATGACATTTGTGCAACTTTAACAAGGGCGAGCGTTGAGCACTTAAGGTGTATTTTGTGAGGCAGGCAAAATCGAGAGCAGTGGAAAGATGCTCCTAATGTGTGTGTGCGTGTGTGTGTGTGTGTGTGTGTGTGTGTGTGTGTCTGACAGACGGTCTATCTATCCATCCATCCATAGGGATATGTGGGCTACTTTAAAACGGTTCGTTCGGGAGATGCGTTTGAAAAACCGCGCAGCAATTCTTAAAGTGAAGCGCGGTGGATTAGTGAAGGATCGCGTTTTGCTTTGACATGAACATGAAACGAAAACGTGCTACATTATAAAAAGAAAAAAAATATATATATATATATACATAGGTAGTAAAAGAAGAAACGAAGCAACTCCAATCGCATACTGCTACATCGTCTGCTTTTGAGGCAAATATAAAATCTGTCGAGTGCCAAAAGTTTAGTGTAAAAATTCAGTGCTTATTCAGCCCCTCCGAGGCTCGATTTGTATTTTGGAAGCGCCGTCTGTCCCCGTTTACTTGGCAAGGCTGGCGAAGTAGTCGATGGTGAGGGCGGGCTTCTCGGCGTATCTGTGCAGGGAAGAAGAGGGAGAAAGCAGATTAGCGAAGGAAACGCATGTGCTGAAATGTGACACACGCGAGGCACGTTCGGTCCTCAAAACAGACATAAAGCGAGGAGGTTTGTGCGCGGATGACGAACCCGGACCCCCTCCCCCTACTCCCCCGCCCGTACGCCCTACAAGAGACCTGCTGACGTGTTACTACAATGTTATGCATTTGGGTCCCATCCGAGCGCGCTGTCACTCGCGCGGTGACAGAACGCGCCCTCGCTTTTGAAAGAGTTTCAAGCGTCAGATAACAGACCTTATCGGCGCGTGAGAAAACAAGCGGCTCTCCCGTTCACAAAAGAAAAGAACGGGACGCACGGTCGGTCACTCACTCAGTCATTCAGTCACTCACTCACTCACTCACTCACTCACTCACTCACTCACTCACCTCCTTTACGTTTTGGGGTCCGGTTCGCAGGGAGCGCGCTCGAGCGAGCTCGTCGCGTCCGGACAGGGGTCGGCCTCGCTCGCGTGGACGCTGGGTCTTTTGCTTCGGCGAAGATCATCTATTGGGAGAACGTAGATGGTGTTAGAAAAGGTCGCTTTCGCGAACGGAGAGACGTCCGAGCCGCGAAACATTTACCCTGATCTTCCGTCGACGGTCGTTTCCTCGGCGTGCTGAGCGAGCGGTTCCCGGCGTCCGCGCGTTCGGAGTTCCCCGCTCCGCTCTCCGGGGACGGAGAGGGAGCCGTCAAGAAATAATCGTGGTTCCCGTTATGATCCACAGTCCCGGCCGAAGAGGGCCGTTTTACGCGAGGGGGTCTGGTGTAAAAGTCCGGCACTTCGTCGGCGTCCACCTCCTGCCACTCGTAGTCGCCCGGCGCGAGCGGTCGGTTTTCGGCGAAGTCGTAATTCCACTTTTCCGCGGACGCTCTCTCGATCTCCCGCATTTGCTCCCGTACATCCTTGGCGAACTCTTGGCGGTCCACGGCGCCGAAGAGACTTCGGCAGACAGGCGGCTTGCCGTGATCCGCCTGCCTGGGGTCCACTCGCTCCAGCGTCGGACTTCCATTGGAGACGCGCACTTTTGACATTTCGCACGTGAAAAGTTTGTCCGAGAATCGCAGACGCGGCGTAACTAAGAGCAATCCCTCCCGAGAACGCGGAGCGAGGCGCAGGGCGCACGCATAACAAACGCGGAAAGGCGAACGCGCGCGAGCGGCGAACGAGTCATGAAAACGGCGATCCCCGTCGTAGTAATTCCGAGGAAAACAGACAAGTCGTTCGAGCACCCAATATGGCGATCGCAAATAAAACTGGCAGGGGGAAAAAGATTGACAGCGAAGGCTATTTAAACAGAAGAAGCTCGCGATTGGAGGTCGGAGCGCGCGCCCCGCCCATCGACGAAAAACTATACAAACAGCAGAGTCGCCATGTCCGCTAATCGTCAGCAGGAAAAAGAAAAGTCAGGAAAGAAAGGGTTAAAAAGCGTGCGAGCGAAGTCAGCAACAGTTGTAAGCGGTTAGAAGAAGAACGGTTTGATTTAGAGCAAGTGCGAAAGTCAGAATCGCCTGCCTGGAAATGTCATGCATGCTTGCGAAGACTCGATAAACGTGTGTACATGGCAAAACGAGGTGTTTTATTCCCACAATTGAGTTATGGTGAACACCTAACGATGACACTGAGTGAAATGTAAGCGCACGCTCAACCTGCCATGCATTTGTAATCATTTAATGAAAGTCATTACTGAGAATCAATAAAGATGATAAAAAGGGAAAATTGTGTGCTTTCTAAACGGGTACAACGGCGAATATGTCAATGTTTAAAAGCTGTAGTGATCTGGCAACACATCTGCAGAATGAGTTTTGGTTGTATGGAAGAAAAGCAATATGATTTTTGACCCTTTTTTTCCAAGACTTTGTTGGACCAGTTCCATTTACGTGAAAGCTGTAGACGTACAGTGTAGTAGAAGATGATAGATATAAAGGGGGGGATCAATCGAACTGACTCTTAGAAGGTTGGTGCGATGCGTTTATGTCGGCCAAGTGTGAGTTGAGTTGGCTGGTGCCTTATCGGTAATGGCATGTTCTGTAAAACAAGTAATTAGTAGAGTTGTACACAATTGATGGTTACTGCTTTGTCGTGAGTAATTGTCTAATTTGTCCGATGGTTCAACAATTACTGCGTAGAAAGATGTGAGCTAAAGTGTGCAAATCAGGGAAGGAAAGTTTGTTACAAGTTTTCCTGGTTTTGACTGAATTGCAGTAGGAAAGGCCAATTGCTTTAAGTATGAGTTTGTCGCCATCTAGTGGTTTTGTAATGGATGAAATTTAGTTCATGACGTTTTTTGGTGCAGTAGCTGGGATGTGGAAATGTGTTCCTGGAGTTCTGTTGATTGTGTAATTTTTATGCATTGGAATTTTTGTAATGTATGTAATTGATTAAAGATTTTTTTTGGGGAGAAATTGTTCAGGTAGTTTGAAATTTGTACTGTTTTCAGCATTTTTTAAGGGGAGATTATTTTCAATTTTTTTTGGCTAAAATTAGCAATGTTTACTTTTATAAATATTCATGAGGGGGAGGGAGGAGAAAAAAAAACAAAACAAGTATTTTATTATTGTTTATTATTATGTGTATTTTATATATATATATATATATTTAGGTAGGTGGTTGTGTGAGGGTGGCTTGGCAAATTTTGGATTTTTTTTCAGTAAAATTTTTTTTACTAAGTCATTTTTGGCATTTTTAGCAAATTTTTAGCAAATTTTGGCCTTGCTTCCGGAACACTCTAAAGCATAACCGCGGCGGATCAACGCTCCGAAACCTCGGGGGGGGGCCACGGTCACGGCCCCCCCTTCTTCTTTCTTTGGGTGGTTTCTGGGTTTATGCTCCGCTGTGTCATCTCACCACTTGTTGTGTCCTTCCATGCTGTGTTGCTCCAGATTTGGTCCAGTCCTCTGTGTGTGTGCGATCCATCGTTGGTTGACTTCACCTGATCCACCGCTGACTGTCTCCATCCACTCCACTGCTTCGCTCTGGGGCCCCATGGATCCATTCGTCTGCCCTTCCAGCCTTCTGTCTTTGCTGTGGCCCATGCCTCCTCTTCGTTCGGAGATCTTGCTGTACTTGAACCAGCGCTTTCTGGCATGGTGTGCCAGTGCTCATGCCGCTGAGCCACAGATCTCCTCACACTTATGATGAGTTGGAACTTCTATTTATATTCTTACCGGCGCTTCTGAAGATCAGTCTCATTCCACTCAAGGCTTCCACAGGCTGGAGTCGTGCAGGTCTTCCTTTTGGTGTAGGGGTAGTGCAGGAGTTTGGAGATCATTCAGCAATGGGTTCTAGGCTCACCTACGACTGGTACACACAAACACAAAACTGTGATTTGTCCAATCATGACCACTAAGACAAGTGGTGTGTAGAAACATGAGCAGTGAGTCAGAAAATCTTCTTCACACTATTTATTTAACACTCTTGTCACTTACAAAATATTGTGTAAACACCATAAACGGTCACATTCAACAGATGCTCTGCTGCTCAAACTTGCTTCATACGAGCACAACCACAAAATCAAACTTTATCATCACTCACACTTTCATTTCATTGATCTGATCATAAATGAATATAATCACATGAAATCAATTATCATGAGGACGTGCTCTTCTGGACGCTCTTCTTCCTCAGCAGCTCGTTCTGAACCTGCTCTGGAAACTGATCGAGGTGCTCCCGCACACAAGGCAAGCAGAAGCGCTTGGTGTAGAACAAACTGCAGTCCTGTGGGTAAAACGAACAAAACTCTGCCTTAGTGACTATACCGTTTCAACACTATACACGCACACAATTCAGTCATTAAAGGCAAGACGATGCATGTGAATAAAGCTCATTGTGCATTTGGAAACGCTTTAGCTTTTTTTTTGGACATTCTAACTTCACTTACTCATTTCCTCCATCTCCATTTCTTTCTTGCCAAAATGCAGCATCCAGCAGTTCTCACACAAAACCCATCAAACTTACATTTTTACTACGTTTCTTTCTTTTTCTTTTTTTAGGATTACACTAATATCTTCATTACATTAACTCATACATTTCACCACTTAACAGACGTTAAGTAAACTTTCCTTTACCAATTCATTTCAAAAGCTGTTGCTGGAAAAAGCGATTTACTTTCAAACTATTACATTATGCCTCAGCTCAAAGCTCATTTGGAAGAAAAACTAAACTAACACATCAACTACCGCAACGTACAAATATATCAATGTTGCTTAACCTTATAAAAACGTTTATTTTATTGGGATTAATTCAAATCACCCATTGCTTTAGGTAATAGTAAAAACAGATTCAATTCTGCAGCACTTATCCAATTTAAGCACTATTTCTAAACTCTGATTTTTGACTTCAAATAACAAATGCTTTTGAAGAATGCTTTAAGAAATGCAATTTTACTCCATTTCTATTGCTACTTCTGCTTCCATACACATCCAAGCAGAGGCCAGCTACATTTCAAGTGTCATGAAAACGTCATACAAATGTCAGTATGGGCCAGAAGTACACAACTCATCATAGTCTTCACACCCACCTTTGGCCCACTCTTACACCTCTTTAGATTCTGTGGCAGATCAAATGTAGCTTTGTTGTAACAAACACCTCCAATACACTTACAAATATTTTGCAGGCAACATGAATATCTGGAACCCCACAAAAAAATTCACACACTCTCACCTTAAAAACACTATCATGGTGTGTTCTTCTTCTTTCAATGATTAAACAAGGAATAATTCCCATTACCATAATCAATTACATACTTTTTCAAACACAAACAGGACAATCCCAAACACCTCTAACAGCAATATCTCACTTTTACAATATTTGTGGTAAACATAACTGATTACTGGAAAACTCACATTTTCTGCATACTATTTACACATTAAACATTGTGTGCATTTACAACATTTCTATTCTACACCAATGAGCCATTACATTAGAACCATTCACACACCGTTTGTACAATTTACTTTAGGTCTAAAACGACACAACACTGTCCTTTAGCCATGCTGTGAACACATTAAGGTAGCCTTCACCAAAATTGTCATACAACACTTCAAATTTATAAATAAAATTGGACAATAACATTTCAATATTAACAGTGCTGCTACTAATTTTTTTTTTTTTTAATAAATCAATTATTTTTATACAAATCATTTACATGCACATTAGACATATACACATTCATTTTAAATTGAATAAAACTTTACAAGCATTCTCTGCTTCTCTAAAATCACCATTTCTCACTCTAACTGGTGTGTTATAGGATGCACAATAAAAGGAGCCCAAGTAGTCACGTTATGTTTACCACACTTTATTCAACTAATATGCCAAAAGCAATCTTCAAAAGTCCAGTAAGCCTTTCAGTTGACGTCACAGCTTCGCTTCACTTTGGGAGTCGCAACTTCTACGTACCGTTCCCACACACACAGTCTTGCTGCACAGAGAGCACTTGGATCCTAAAATCAGAAACTTCTCTCTCTCTGGGCTGAAGGGGTCCTTTATGCCAAAACATTCCTCCAAGAGCCTGAAAAAACACACAAAAAAAAAAAAAAAAAAAAAGTCACTCACTTTTTTTTTTGGCCAAACATCAATAAATAAATATGTTGTGCAAACACTACAGTACACTTTCTACCTGGAAACTGCAACATCCCACAAACACTAAACACGCATACAAATAAGCTACAAATGTGAACACTGAACAGAAACGCAACATACAAGCCCTGCCACAATACAAAAAAATAAAAGAATAATAATAAAAATAAACAGTGACAAAAAAATAAATCAATCAATCAATCAATCATTACAATTGGATACCCATTCACAACTAAAAGGACTGACTGACAACAACTTTCAATACAAATAAAACAACAACAACTCGAATAAAAAAATTCAACCCTAAACTTTTACTATGATACTGCTCCACACTTTAAAAACCTTTGCATTTTACAACATGGTAGGCCATCATGTTAAACAATACACAAAACAAACACTAAATCCACAACAACAACAACAACAACAACAACATTAATTAAAAAAAAAAAAAAAAAAAAAAACAGATTTCCAATTTACTACATTGGATATTAAAAGTCAAAATGCTCAAACATGCAACCAAAATTATTACTACATACAGCACGCAAAACACATTTACTTTGTCCAACTTCATACTATTGCTTAACACAGCCCTCAGCTGTCAACACACTAGGCTTGCAAATGCAACACACCACGTTTCAAACCAGCATGCTGTCTGCTAAACATACTAAACAGACAAACCACATCAAATGCCACAAGTTAGTTCCAGCACATATCCTCGCTGTTCAACAAAATTACAAATAAAAGCCCTAACCGTACCGCTTCACAAATCACAAACCAATGATATTCAAGCACCATGACCCAAACCTTGCATCCTCAGGAAGCAAACAAAAAGGACACCTGGAAAACATCTGCTACAAATCACTGCTCATGCACACGTCCATACCACCCTCCAACAGTCACCATGCACAACTTGGACGCCAAAGCACCATTTATTCATCAAATGGACCTTCACATCACCTTTTCAAAACCACCCTTTTACTCCTGGAAGCATTGCAACCAAAACAAGCAGGACAACTTGGAAACACCTTCATTCACTGCCATACGGACCAAATGGCATACTTCAGCCACACAGCTCAATAGTCACACAACCACGTATCTTTTAGGGAAAAAAAAAAAAAAAAAAAAAAAAAACACAAATAGCTGCTTAATACAATACATGCCACTGAGGCTACTCTACATTAACTATACACTTCAAATGCAAATAACACTCCGTTTTCATTTCATTACAAGCCTTACAAACCACATTTGACCTCTCCATGCAGGAACTACAAATGCCCCACAACCAACAACTTTCCACAGCCTTACACAAACACCTGGGGATGACAAATAAAAGGTTAGGCGAAAGTTGCCCCAGATGGAGCGCTGATCTTAGTTAAACATGCAAGTTTTTGTTCAGCACTCCGGCCTTTCAAAAAACTACTGAACGAGAAAAAGAAAAAAGGAAATACACTGGCCAAAATGCTTCATGAAATGACCGTTGCAAACTCTCAAAGAAAATCTCCCTTATCAGGGAACAACATTGACTTCATAAACTGTGTCACATTCACAAAGCGAGTGGGACAAGTCACAAATCTATTGCCCAAGCTCAATCATGGACAAACTAATCAACTACTTTAGCAAAATATCCACCGTTCATACTTACCCTCTTTGTTACAGCAGGAAATGCTACAACAAAGCATAAACGCTGCTCAAAATAACCTCCTCAACACCCACCTTTGTATTGTTGCCGACATTTTTTCTTATACTTACCGGACACGGGTGAATTTACTTCAGATACAATCCATCCAAATTCTTTCCGCAGAAATTGACTTTGCTCAAACACCCCATTATGTACTTACTACTTGACAGAGCCTTTAAACAAATGTGTCACTCGCCAACATCAACACTCACCTACACAGGTTTACGTTGGCATATGACTGACAAACCAATTGTCAAACAAAATGTTGCTCCGCACCTTACACAAAAGGGGAATCCTGGTAACCTTCAACAAATGACTGTGCAGATGGACCGTACAAACAGTCGTCTGTACTGAAATGACAAGCTCCGGATTCAGCATCAGCTAGGAGGTTGTGGGTCAAAGATCAGTCCTGCGGACATCTACTTACTGTATAACGTTGCACAGCTAGGTCAATAGTACTCGCGTTCATGATGGTGGAAATCACAATACCTTGCTCGTCCCATTTCAAAGCCAACCCACTTTCACAACACGCATGTAGTAATGCATACTCTTCTCCAAATGTCTGTACGTGGTGCACATGTACTGACCATTGCAGCCAGTGACCAAAGAGAACCGTTTTAGACTGTGCACAAAAAGGAACTCATTACAAGTCACGGAAATCATGAGCACAGCTTCAACACATTTTATGCAGTGACTGCTGATCAAATGTTTCAGCCTAAACAATACTGAACAAACATAACACCACACCAAAAACAGTTACTTTCATTCAACATTTCAAAAGCACAAACATACTACGAATTACAACTATACTGTAACAACAACAACAACAACAACAACAACAACAACAACAACAACAACGCTTCATATAAATGCCTCACAGTCATTTGGCTGCCCTCAGTATTTCACATTGCAGTTCAAACCAAACTCATATGCCCATCAAGCTCAATATGCTCTCAACTACTGCTACCGATTTGTGCTGGCATGTAAAGGTTAATGCATTCTTGCTTGTTCTTTTCTTTCTGTTGCAGTTGACAAAGCAAAGCTATGCTTTTTCTAAGTAACACCATTTAGAAACATTCAGCTAATGCTATTTTTATTTTACTATTTTTTATATAAATGTTCTTTTTTGCCAATGGACAGACTGCATGCATGCCAATTTTGTCCTTACAAAAATCTGCGTCTTATTTAAATATTACTGAATTGTACAAATTACTGCACAAATACTAACCTTCAAAAAGCACTGTCGAAAAAAAAGACAATACCTGATAAACAATGTCTACTTTCCTGATTCATACTCAGCTTTGCCAGAGGGACCCCTAGGATGTAAGAGCGTTCAGTGCTTTGTCAACAGAAGCAGCCACAAAACTTGATTACTGCAGGGAAAAACAAACATTGAAGTACAGACCAAGACAATTCAAACTTGCATCATATACTCACCCTTTCAACCACTTTCCAACCATTTCATTTTCTTCATTGTGGGAAACACCTCCTTTTATAACAGCAGAGAACACAGTTACAAAGTACAAGTTAAATGGCAGAACTGACCAATGATGGCTAACAATTTTTTAGTTGTAGTGGCAACATTCATCATAAGAAGAAGAGGAAGAAGGAGGAAGAAGAAAAAGGAGGAAGAAGAAGAAGAGGAACAAGAAGAAGTCTGATTTTTTTGGACATTAAGCCAATTGACAAAATTACTTGTGCATACCAGATGACCACATGATGCATCAAATCAAAATACACTTGGAGAACCTTCAAATTAAGCTTTCATTGCCATCAATCCCAAAAACAATCAAGTTGTCATTCACTTCAGCAGGCCTACTCTGTCAAGTCCTCTGAACAAACATCTATTAAGCATACTCATCCTATTCAGTTTCAATGCAGCACCAGGAGCTGCATTCAAACTGATGGTTACGTCTTTTTTGCCAGTATTTGGTAATGTTGACTGACAAAACACCAAATCAATTCCTAAAGCAACTTGCATATTCGGCCCAAATGACAGCCTTCAGGAGGATGCCATGTCAGGAAGACATTCAAAGTTGATCCCCATCTACAGACTTCATTCAGTGGAACAAAGCTAGGAAAGAGAAATAGGTTACTTGTCTGGCCACATTTGCCTTTCATTCCATACATCACATTGTTACTGCGTTATTCAATACATTTGACAAGCAACTTCACAATTTAACTGTCAAATACTCAACACAAATTATGATATTGAACGCTTATTATTATTATTATTATTAAATACCACTGTTTTTCCAGTATCGGTACACTGCCTACTACATGCCCACCTCCAGCCTTTAACAGAACCCTACTTTTTATACAACTTGATGGTGAGCAAACGTTCCTTTTCATGTACAGCATTACAACTGTGCCTGAAACCACTCTCTGCGTTTGTAGGCATGTCTGGCACCTCTACGTTAACCTGAACGTTTATTCACAAACACTTTTGTACATGGAACAGCTAAACTTTGCTGCAAAAGAAAATCTACAAAACATAACATTTCAATAACTTTTCAAACTTAAACCTAAAATGTTACATTCTGGATTATTTATTTTTTTTTGGGGGGGGGGGGGGGGGGGCTAAATAAAAACCACAAGTGCTCCATCTTTGTATATAAAGCTTTTTTTTCTGTAACTTCGGGCCAATGTGTTTTTCCTTTATTTCATTTAACAGACAACGCTTTATTAATCAATTCATTAATTGAGTAAATTAACATTCCATCTTCACATCCTTTTTTAAATGCTCAAGTTATCGCTCCGGGTTTTTACTTACTGTCGACGGCTTCGAGACGTTAAGGAGCCTGGCCTCAGCAGGCAACCATGACCACTTGCAAGCTGCATTTTTAACTCATTAATTGTCTGACGTTTCCTTCGATCGTACGGAGATGACTTCTGCTGGACGCACTCAATCAGTCGCTCCATCTCTCATAGCACACCTTCACTGCAGCATAGCGATATTGCAGCTGATCCACACAGGATAAGATTTCCCCATGTCAGCCTGAAAGGCAATGCTCCTAACTTCCAGGTTCATCCTGACATCTGTAATGAGAACGACGCTGCCGCTCTTCAGCTCGACAGGTACTTCCCTACCGCATGAATGTGGACATTTCGCATCGAATGTTACGGTCTCTCTACCAATACCTTCAAGCCAATCATGATTCTTGCCTTCAAAGCACACAACAATGACCACTTGCAAATTAGCAGGGAATACATAAAACAAATAAATCACTTCTCTATTTGGGTTATATCATCATATAGACAACTTCTGCTGGACGCACTAAATCAGCTGCTACATTTCTCATGGCATGCAGCAGCCACACGCTTCCCTTCAATTCATTTCCTCACTATCCTTCTCTATGCCGACACGCATGTTGTGTCCTATCATGTTGTGCTCAACCACATGCGCTCCGGTCCTCTGCTCGCTGCTCCATCCGGTCAGCTGATCGCTCCATGGATCCTTTCACCGGTCCGTCCACCCTTGGTCTGGTCAATCGCTCGCCCTGGTCCATGGCTTCACCTCAACACCTTTTCCTTGTACAAATCCAGCTATACTTACCCCAGCGCCGGAACACCTATACGTACCTGAAATCTCCACACTCGCATGGCACACAAATACCTACTGGGCTGAAGACTGCCAGTCATGTTCAACCGAAGATGCCACGACGAACAAACAAAAACAAACAACTGTCTCAGCCTTAGACAAACAACAACTGTCTCAGCCTTAGACAAACTATACAAGACTTGCACAAACACGAAACGGCATGCCATAATAAATCAAATGATCGATTTAATGCGTCCAGCAGAACTAATATATATGAAGCTACACCAAAATTAATCTACCACTTCGTTACTTTTGATTCTAACTCGTTACTGCTCATTGTTGCTCGCTGACAAGATGAAACTCATGAATGGCTTCAACCCAGAGACCTAAACGCACCATGTGAAATCTCCACATTCATGCGGTATGAACGAACCTGTTCAGCTGAAGACCGGCAGCGATGTTCTCATTACGGATGCCAGGATAAACCTGGAAGTTAGCAGCATTTGCTCCCGGGCTATGATGGAGAAAGTCTGACCGTGTGTTGAACTGCTCCCGTATTGCTGTGCTCTAGTCAGAGCGTGCTATGACAAATGGAGTGACGGATTCAGTGTGTCAAGCGGAACTCACCTGTACACGATTGAAACAAACGTAACACAATTCATTTCTTTTAAATCCAACTTGCAACTGCTCATTGCTGCCTACCAAGACCAGACTCGTGAGCGCCTTGAAGCCATCGACAGCGAGTGAAAACACGCAGCGACAAATTAACCATAAAAAACAACGTCAAAACAGCGTGTTTATTTACCTCATTGATTAATTGATTAAATAAACAATCGTCCATCAAATCGATAAACAGTAAAATTGTTGACCAGAAGTGACATTGACAATTTGTATATAGATAATAGTAAACATTGTTTGTTATTTTATTTCTTTATATTTTGACCAATAAAATACACCAAATATAGCCATTATATAAGAGTTAAACGACAAAATTAAGTGCGCCTGAAATAACACTCAAATTAAAGCAGGAGGTGCCACACATGCATATACCAAACAATTAACATGACACTTCATTTTTGCCTTCGTTACATTGCAATTCACTCGTCGACAAACGCGAGGTCAGCGGTTTCACACGCAGTTTAAATGCCCTACACCGCATGATATGACACTCCATTTCTTAAATGGTTACAGTGCTCTTTACTCACACTATAGCTCTGGTGTTCGGCGGCTTCTGTCCGTAAAAGCTGTATGGGCTGGAAACCTCGCACAGCTGGCAGCTGAACACGCCGAGCGCGGAGCCTTCCGTCAAATCCATTCCCGTCTGCAAGACGATGCCTACAAGACGTTCAAATCAGGTTTAAAGAAAATAAACGTTAATACAAAATGTCTGAATAACGTTAACTTACTTACAAGTTTGTCTGCAGCCAGCACGCGCACGACCGCTCACGCCATGCTGCTGCTACGGTGTGTCAAGTCGCACAGCTGTTCGCCGCTTCCGTTTTATAGCCTCTTCCTCTTGTTCTTCTGCATTTATTGGCTGTTGGCAAACGATACAAATGGTGAATTTCCGCCACCGACTGGTATGGAGTATGATCCATCATGACCCATTCTCGCCCTTTCCTTCATGCGTTCATCTCCCACTAATGTGTGTTCATAAGATAAGCAATGAGAAGATATAGCGTTTATACATAATTATTTCATACAATAGATCTCTTTTCAATTCTTCATAACACTCCTTCTGTCTTACGCCATCTTTGTCCATTTTGAATAGTGTACTCTTTAATATTGTGTGACCCAATCTCACTGAGCTGGCTCATCTAGACTCTATATTCATATCTACAAACCACAAGTCATTTAGCTTCTTTTAAATTGTTGCCATGGAAACATTTTGACATTTAAAAGCACTGTCTGTAGGTTCGTTACATGTTTGTATTTATATTCTCACTCATATATGTATGATGTACATAGAAATAACTAAGGCTTATTGGACGTACATATCCTTTGGATAGGTTCATTGTTCATCATAGGTTCATCAACAGATTCGATGTGGCATGGAATTAAGCAGCATTCTCCCACGGTGAGATCCAAGAGTTTATCTGTCTAACTTTGGGAAGAGAAACTGTGCACAAAACTCCTTTCCTGTAGCATGTTTCCAATCTTCAAAATGTACTCTTTAATGTTGTGACCTAATCTCACCCTCCCTGGATAATTACTGTCTCGTTTCTTCAACTTTCTTTTGATTTCTGTAAAAGCGTCTACCCCTTTTCTCGTTATCCCATTGATTTACCACCTTCCTTCTTTCTTATTTTAATAATCCTCTTGATTTCACTCTTGCTTATACTTAGCCTACGTTTGCTCTGTCACCCCAATGCCAAAGGTCCCAGCTGAGTCAGCTGGCATATCTGTGTGGAGTTTATATGTTCTCCCCGTGTTTGTGCGGGTTTCCTCCAAACACGTTTTATAGGATGAATTGCTTGAACTAAATTGCCACTAGTGTATGCGTGTCAATGAGTGTGTATGGACGTTTTCCAGTACTGGGTTTCAGCTGGAAGAGCACCCACTGTGTGAAACGTACGCTGGATAAGTTGGTGGTTCACTCCACTGTGGTCACCCTTGATGAATAAAGGGACTAAGCTGAAGAAAAATAAACGAATAAATGTATTTCATCTCAAACTACAAACACCGGTTACCAGTAATTAATTACACAAACAAAGAGTCAAAAGGAAAGATGAGATGAGATGTTTCTTTAAGTTGCAAATCTACAAAGCGTTTTCTCCAAATCAAATTTCATTTCCCTAAATGCTTAAATCAACACATTTTCCCCTCCCAAAAACACAATAAAACCATCATTTACACTTCTCATAGTCAACACATCTGTACAATACAATTACAGTTGGAGTGCTATACAATGTACAATACTCTTTTCATAATACAAAACATTTTACAAATGATGCTCAATGTACAAGTCTTTCAAATAAGGCAACGACCATCTGTTTGATACAGCTATCTCTGTACATTCAACCCTAGATCATCACCTCGTTTACAGCACGCTCACTTTTCATTTCACAAGCTTTAACTCCTGATTGCTGGTGCTAATTTGGCAAAAGAATGTCTGCAAGGCAAGATGCAGTCTTGATGATGCAAGCTGAGATTGCATATCTCGCTCATGCAATATCAGACACAATGCGCTCAATGGAGCTGCTCGCGTCACTGTGAGGGGTGGGGTTAGGGGTGTGCATTACAAAGCATTGGATGCAGCTCAGATTGCACTGCACCAGGTCTGCTCCCAGACCCCTCTCCATAACCCTACAACATAGGACATTTATAAAAGTAGTACACTTTCATTCACAATGATCAAACTGCAGCTGCTATTTCAGTTGAGATTGTCAAATGTCAACACAATCGACTCTTTACGATTCCATGAGGCCACAGGACACGATTTGTGGATGGCAATTGTTCAACATGAATGACGTTCATTTATCATTACAAATTCTTTCTATAAACAGCACACTTCTTTACCAGTTGCAAAGGTTATTCTTTATCAAAATATGCAGTCATACTTTTTTTTATTTTTTTATTGTGATAGATCTGTTTTGCCTTTGTTGCGATCTTGTGTGATTGACAGGCTGCCCTCAAAACATCATCAGACAACAGAGGACAATTGTTTTGGATTCAAGATTACAGCACAAGTGCACACGCACGCGCACACACACACACACACACACACACACACACACACACACACACACACACACACACACACACACACACACACACACACACACACACACACACCGCTGCTATATTCTTTATAAAACAACAACTGCCCATATTAATCAAGTAGGTATCGCTGCAGCCCAGAGACCACCGAGTGGGATGGATTACACCGTAAGTGGGTTGGTTGACCTGTAAGTGGGACAGATTTAAACCAAAGTAGCTTGGGTTAGCTGGTGTAGGTGGAGCAGATATTAATAAAACACATCAGGTTACTGTGAGATTGGGTCTAGGTGGAGCAAGTGTAGATGTTACTAAAACACATCAGGTTACTGTGAGGTTGGGTTTAGAGCTGGAGTAGGTGTAGTAGACGATACTAAAACAAATCAGGTTACTGTGGTTTGCAGGGTGCTGTACTGTAGGTGGAGCAGATACACATCACAACACATCAGTTTACTGTGAGGTTGGGTTTATGGTTGGGGTAGGTGCAGACGTTCATAAAGCACAATATTGAACTCGGTGTCATGTACAAAACTTTAAATAAATCAAAACTCCAGCTTTGTACAGCCCACTTGGAGCTCAAGACCCACACACTTACAGCTGGCTCCCACTTCCGTTTATATCCTTCTCGTCTTAACTGTATGGTATGACGCAGACCACTCTAAAAGTTACACTTCGTTAGCCACGTTCCCATATCTACAACTCCAGCCTGCGAATATGACATTATGATGGAGCAGAGGAGCAGCTCCGCTTTTATAAAAGCGCCAAAAACAAAACTTACTTTAATGATGTACTGCTTCCCGTTTACTGCTGACATGTAAACCTGAATCATTAAGGTGCGTATTTCTTTTTCATGACACCTTTCAGGAATATACTAAGTATGTTTGGAAAGCATCTATTGCACTTGTCTAGCTTACTCCTTATAAAGGTCAGTGCCTTAGTAAAGATCAGTGCAATTATGATGAGGCTATTCGTTACACTGGCCGTACCCTACGATGATCCTGATGTAGGTGCACACCCTAAACATGTTACTGCCGGTCTCCTGTTTATCTCCTGGTCGAATGCATACGTGTGAGCTCAGTACATGTCTCTGTAGATCTCCTGCAGGAGCGGGTGGAGTGACGCGTCTTCTGTCTTGTTGATCTCCTGCACCAGCTCCGCGTGCTCCGTCACCAGCTGCCGCAGGTCGGCCAGTTTCTGCAGCAGTTTTGGGAACAGCAAGCTGTTGTCGGGGTGGTTGGACGTCAGGTGGAGCCGCAGAGAGTGGATTACGCTCTCCTGGATGCGCTCGATCTGTGGCACGTTGCTGAGTCCGGGACGGTCTGCGAGACATCAGAGACGCATGTAAGCATGCCCAAAACACAAAAAATTCATCACCAAGCTTGTTTATTTAACTGATTACTACAAATGAAAGCAGAAATCAAACTGATGTCACATACCCACTGGAAAACATACTATAGTCATTTATAATACTACTTTACTGTTTTTTTTATTCAGCTAAAATGTGGCTACAATTGGTTTTTCATGTATGGCCGATATATACTGCATCAGCAAGAATGATTGAGGTCATGTCCATGTGTTGCGCAACCACTTAATATATTGATTATTGTGACAGGCCTAGTCTAGACAAAAAAAATAACTAAGAACATCCCACCTACATGTATGGGACGATGGCGTTGAGGAGATTCGAATAAAACTTTGCTACTTCCTCATCATAAACCGCTTTTAAACCTTTAAGGGTTTCTGTTTGTCTGTTGAAGATATGAGAAGATGTTTTGAAGCATGATGGAAACCGGTACCATTGACATATATACTACACAAAAAACTCAAAGTCCATGGCTACTACAATGCTTCAAAATATGCTCTTTATTTCCTTTTAAATATCCTCACACAGTTTTTAAACACGTTCTATATTGTGCTAATTACAGTGTGTCACAAAAGTGAGTACACCCCTCCCATTTCTGCTAATATTTATTAACGTCTTTTCATAGGACAACACTGCAGAAATGACTCTTCTTTGACACAATGAATAGTAGTCAGTGTAAAGTGTGTATAGCTGTGCAAATTTATTGTCCTCTCAAAACAACTACAAACGCAGCCAATAATAGGGGTGTACTCAGTTTTGTTGCATGGGGTTCAGCTAAGTGAAAATGTCAAAATTGAGAACAATAAATCATTTTTTTTTTCCACTGTGACTCATAAGTGTTACACTGTCTCGGGTATCCACAGATAGCAGGTGAGTTAAATTTAGTATAAAAGCTCTTTCACTCTCTCAACCAGGCCACTGAACGTTCAACATCGCACCTCATGGCAATCAACTCTCTGAACACCCGAAAAACAAATTGTTGCCTTACATAAAGACGGCCTAGGCTATAAAACGATAGCCAACGCTCTGAAACTGTGCTGCTGCACCGTGGCCCAGACCATTCAGTGCTTTAAGAGGACAGGTTCTTCCCAGAACAGGCCTCGCCATGGTCAGCCAAAGAAGCTGAGTGCACGTTCTCAGCGTCGCATCCAAAGATTGTCTTTGATAAACAGACGGCTGAGTGCTTCCAGCATTGCTGCAGAGATTGAAGATATGGGAAGTCAGCCTGTCAGTGCTCAGACCGTACAACGTGTGGTCCTAGAAGGAAGCCTCTTCTAAAGACGATGCAAGAAAGCTTGCAAACAATTTGCTGCAGACTTGCAAACTAAGGACCAGGAATGCTGGAACCATGTCCTGTGGTCTGAGACCGAGATAAACCCATTTGGTTCAGATGGTGTCAAGTGTGTGTGGCGGCAACCAGGTGAGGAGTACAAAGACAACTGTGTCTTGCCTACCGTTAAACATTATGGCGGGAGCGTCATGTTCTGGGGCTGCATGAGTGCTGCTGCCATTGGGGAGCTACATTTCATTGAGGGAAACATGAATTCTATCATGTACTGGAACTTACTGAAACACTTCCCTCAGGAAACTGGACTGCAGAGTACTGTTACAGCATGATAATAACCCAAAACATTTATCCAGGATGACCATTGGCTTGCTAAAGAGGCTGAGGGTAAAGGTGGATGGACCGGCCAAGCATGTCTCCAGACATAAACCCCATAGAACACCTCTGGGGCATCCTGAAAAGGAAGGTGGAGGAGCACAAGGTGTCAAATGTCCACCACCTCCATGATGTTGTGACGGAGGAGTGGAAGACAATTTCAGTGGCAACCTGTGAAGCTCTGGTCAACTCCATGCCCAAGAGAGTTAAAACCATGCTGGAAAATGAAGGTGGCCACACAAAATATTGACATTTCGCATTTTCACTTAGGGGTGTACTCACTTTTGTTGCCTGGGGTTTACCTATTATTGGCTGTATTTGTAATAGTTTTGAGAGGACAATACATTTACACAGCTATACACACTTTACACTGACTACTATTCATTGTGTCAAAGAAGAGTCATTTCTGCAGTGTTGTCCTATGAAAAGATATAAATAAATATTTGCAGAAATGGGAGGGGTGTACTCACTCTTGTGACATACTGTAATTATGCAGATTTCTACTTTTCCGCTGCCCTAAATGTTTGTGCTACTATGGCAAGTGGTGATGGCGGCTTGATCTTATATGTATAATTATACAACTCCAAAAAGGTTCATTTTTAATTAAGTCCAGCAATTAAGTTTCAGCAAATTTGGAACCGTTTCAGAGGCCTCTGAAGCATGATGATAGATCCCTGCAAAATTATTTCCAATGTCTTTTGAATTTTTTGTAATAAACAAAAAAATAACTACTTCGCCTCAAATATATCAAGGCATTGAAGCATGTTTAATCTTTTGTACATTACATGTAAGCGCTTATTGACCATTGGTTTCGCTCTTAAACTCTTCTGAACTGAACTCTAACTGTACGTCGGATGCTCTAATATGTTTCAAGATTCACTTAGCTGTCTGTGTAACATACATCAGCTGTAAGAACGCAGTGAATCAGAGCAGCTCTGTGGAAGAGTTTGCCCTTCAAATCTGCAGGTTCAAGTGCTGCTACAGGACGTGGCAGGAGAGGAAACTGCTTATTTTCGTTAACCGTCTCGCACTCATCATTATGTCATCCTGTCTTTCTAAAGCTACTGGCTGTGGGACTACGGTGACGTCAAAACAACCTGAATGCAAACTAACTTACGCTTCAGCTAAAGACAAGCGAATTTAATGCGATATGACATGCTTATAAAGCACAGAGTCAGATTACAGTCAAATTTAAATGAGTAAATTCAAGCAAAACTGATGACTGGCCTAGGAAAAATCTTTTAATCCCCATTTATTTAAACCGATTAGTTGATGTAGGTGTTGTAATGCCATGTAATAATGTGTACTTATATAGCACATTTATTGTGTATGGTTTATTTGTGCAAACAATTCTACATCAGGGGTTTGATGCAAAACCTACCAATATTTTTTATCATATACCCCCATTTATACTATTTGAGAAGAGCAAATATTAAAACCAGGAAGATAATAAGATGTGGACCCCCATTTGAAAACATTTTTGTTTAATATATATTTTTATTCCTTTTATGTACATTTATTTTGATATCTGAAAAATATATATATTTTTAGAAGAATAAATTCCTAAAATATTTATTCCATCACCCCATTCCATGACCTCTGTATCCCACTGAAAAAAATAAACCTTGCAAATATTGAAAAGTATCCATTATTTTCATACCTGTAGTTGCCAGTCATATGGTCACCTTAGAATTATAAGGTTCTATCTGACATATTTGTCTAAATTGAGTTATTGACATATTCTTAATCAATGACAACTTATTTACATTATGGGATGTTTTTATAAGGTTTTTAAAATGTAAGACTTTTTATTTAAAAAAAGAAATGTTACAAACACATACACTGTTTGCTATAGATTGCAAAAACTTTAAAGCTCAATATCTCTAAATCATTCAGAATGCAGATAGAACCTTATTATTCCAAGGTGACGATATATATATGTATATATATATATATATATATATATATATATATATATATATACTTAAAGTCAGAATTATTAGCCCCCCTGAATTATTATCACCCCTCTTTATTTTTTTCCCACAATTTCTGTTTAATGGACTGAAGACTGTTTTTTCACATTTCTAATCATAATATTTTAAAAAACTCATTTCTAATAACTGATTTATTTTATCTTCAAACTGGGGTTGCTATAAATACCATTGTGTTGTGTGTCGATACGCTAACCACAAGACACCTACCTAGACAACATTTCATCTCACCTCCACAGCAGATGATGGCAGCCACGAACAGCGCCAGGTCACTGTCGTCCAGCTCTAAAGCGTTGAACTTCATGGCGAACTGAAACTTGGGCTCCATCATGTCACTGAAGGGTTTGCGCAGGCTCTTCAGAAACTCTCGGGTGATGAAGCCTCCGCCTTGAGCCACCAGCAGTCCGTCCTTATTCATGCAGGACGCCAGCAGAGTGAACAGCGCCTCGTACACCCCGTATTTCAGCAGCGTCACCTGGTCGTTGAGGTCCAGGTCGGCGAAGCCTGGCACGGCCTTGGCATACTCCGTCAGCTCTGTGACCGTGGCCACTGAAGCGTACTGGCAGAAAAGGAAGAGCCGGGCCTCCACTTCTCGCTCCTGCAGGGTGGAGATGTCGCCCGATGCCACGTTACCCAGCAGCTGGGTGACTAGTTTCTTCTCTGCGTGCTGGAGAGTGTCCATGTCGTGAATGACGAAGGGCTTCGATAGAGGACAGAGAGAGGAAAGTCAGAAAACAAGTGTGTGCATGTTAAATAGTTTTTGTACTTAGCTCTATGTGCTGTGCTAATTGAAACTCTGACTGCCAAGCTTTTTTAAGGGACAGTTTACACGAAACTTTGACATTTACGCAGGCACAAGTCCTTTTCATTTTTGATTTGTTTCTTTTTTTCTGTTGAATACAAAAGAAGACGTTTTCAACATTCTTCAAAATACCTACAGCGGGTTCAACAGACAAAAGAATCATTTGTAACATCTGAATTCTGAGCAGATTTCTATTTTTTGCTGAACTGTGCCTTTAATTTGGAGATACTAAATAGAGAAACCACTTCAACTGCCAGCTATTAACAAAATGAAGCTAGCCGCATTAACGAGGGGTCAATGTCCTGAACATGCCAGGCTGCTTCAGCAAAAATATTGGGATTCTGAATGAATAAAACTTTAACTAAGCCTGCAACACACTGTAGTAGTGAAATCTGAACAGACACTTCTTCGCTTTTGAAATTTGGAGAAAAACTGCACGTGGCAAGCATCCTATTACTTGTAACAAAGGAAAAAAAAACAAATTCTGACATCACCTTAAAATTAGTCTTAAAAAAAAAAAAACTACTCTGGCCCATTATACACCCTGAGCTTGGCTAGATTTGCGGACAGAGTGAACGAATGACATTTGGTTTTAAAGATTAACTTTGTAAAGATTATTCAAATTTAAATTGGCTGAAAACACCACACCGATGTGAGGCTGTCATTACCACAAAATATTTTTGCAAGATTTATAAAGATACATTTTTGTTTCCTATGATCTATTTAAGATCTACACAATAATTAATAATCTCCTTAATAGTCTATATGGCAATAAGTTCTCTGAATGAATTTTTATAAGGCACGCCACAGTGAACCTAATTCAACGTTTTACAGATTGAAAATACAACTTCTCACTTTATAAACATATCATCTGATCAAACTACTGTATAAACCAGGTTCCTCCTAAGTGTATCTGTCTTTTTTCCAATGCAAATGTCCAAATATTCAATTAAGACAGATTTGTTTTTTGTTTTTTGGGTGAACCGTGCCTTTAATTTAGAGGTACTATGTAAGAGAAAAGGCTTAAACTGCCAGCTATTCACATAATGAAGCCACAATGAAGAGGGAGCCGATGTCTTCAAATTTTTCATTTTGTTGATGCAAAATTATTGGGATTCTGAATAATAAAAACTTTAAACAATAAAGCAGGAATACACTATAGTAGTGAAATTTGAACAGACGCCGGCCTACTTTTGAACCACACCGATATTAGACTATTATAAACAGGCAATATTTTTGCAGGTTTTATAAAGTTGCATTTAAAACACAGACAATAATTAATAATCTGAATTTGGCTGTATGGCTCTATGTTCTCTAAATTATTTTTTAAGGCACATACAATGAACTTAATTGAACTTTTGAAACAATCTCGGTTTAAATTTACTCTATTGTCTGATCGAACTGTAAAGAAGTGATGTTCTTCCTGAATGTTTTTTTTTTCCAGAGGAAATGTTTAAATATATTTCAATCAAGTTTACATTTAGTCTAGGTTTTTGGAACATGTATCAAGATGAAAAGTTTATGATCATAAGAAACAAATATCTGCCAATGTGCTCTTAAAAATCCAATTATTTTCATACCGTATTAACAGAATGTTTGTCCTAGACATAAATTCACTTCATTTTGCTTACTTTCTCCCAAACAAAGATCATTAAATATTAAATATTGTTAAATGAAGAGGCACTCGAGACGCAGAAGCAAAAATAGCTTCTTCCTTTAAGAATGTTTAGATTTATTTGCATTTCAAAAGAGAAATATGGAGGGCTGTATTCATATCTTTGCAGTATTTCATTTGAAATATGTTTCAGACTTCCTACTTTGATCGAACACCCTTAGAAATCTTTTTAAGACTTTTTGTAAAACTACATTATAATTGCGTCTCATAATTTTGCTTATTTTTCAATTCCACTGCATTTCTTTTTACATTGAGTGTCAAACGGCCGCTTAGGTTTACTTATGTGTTCTGCAAATTCTCAGTCGGCCCAAACTACTTCAATATAATAAACAATACTATCCTATATATAATAAATATATATAAAACCTTCCATTGTGCTAGCAGAGAGGTAAAGAGAGCGTGTTTGATTATCCCCACATTTTAACAGTAAGCGAGAGGTCAGCGAGTTTGTTAGTCATTTAGTGCTGATTTCCTTACCGGAGTGCTGGTCTTGCCTGTGAGAAACACACGTGCTTTGGCTTTGTTCATGTGGAAGTGTTTGAGGTAGGCTTCGTGCATCTGTCTGGCCAGACTCCTCATGTCCGGCTGCTGACATTTGTGTTCCTCTTTCCCGCTGACGTCCTGCTCCGCTTTCAGACGCTGCTTCTCGGACTGGGGTATCCGCCCAAAACGAATAGCTGAAAGAAGCACGCATGAGGATATGCAATTTAGTTCTGAACACTTTTCATATACAAAAGGATTTTTATACTGTATAAAGTTCACCCCAGAACCATAACCCTTACAGGACTCTTTCTGCAACTTAAAATAAAATAAAAAATACATCAAATCAAATATTTTCCGAGCGAGTATACTTTATAAACTGTTCCCAATAGGGATTCAATTTAAGACTTCTTAATACATTTTTAAAGCCAAAAAAATAATAAAAATTATTAAATTAATGGTAACACACTCTGTCATTGTTTTCTAGACATACATTTATATGGAGCACAAATTGCGTTAGCCACACTGCACACTCTGAAACCAATGATACTAAAACATTTCAACAATAATAATAATAAAAATAGACAGTCTGCCAAAGCTAATTTGCTGTATAAAAACAAAAGACAAACATGTCAGATACATCATAAATGATTAATAAATTACATACTGAGGATGCTATTTAAAAAAATATCTAAAAAATAAAACACTGTAGTTATTCTAAATCTGCATTTCTCCTGTTTTCTATATCGTTTCCTAAGCTTGTTGCTTAATAAACAGCATTTGACTTTTTTTGTTGGTTTATTTTTTACCTAATTATTGATTATTTTTATTAATATCCCTTTAAGTTTAATTAACTGCTTTATGTCAAAGAGTCTGCTAAATGCCTAAATAAAAGGTGAAATGTTAGGAGAAGACTCATACAGTAATGAACTGCTAAAGTATATATCTGTGCTATTTAAACATCACTGGCTCACAGTCCACTACTACTGTATTTGTCTCAAGAAAACTCCAGAAACCAGCCAGTGGCAGATTTTATCATTACATTCACTAATGTGTTCAAATGTGGAGATGCTACACTTCGATTTTAGAAAGCTGAAATGTGGGGGAATCATGACTGATGGTCTGAAAATATGTACTATCAAGTGGTCGAATTTTAATTGCTCGCATTTCTGCTAAAATGAACGGATGTTAGGAAAATCCTACAAAATAAAAGGTGGTACAAAATGAGTTTTATACTGTACAAACTCAAGCCACTAAACATAACCCTTACAAGGACGGGGCAGGACAGGAGAGGGCAGGACAGGACAGGATAAGACTACACAAAATCTTTTTCTTTTTTTAAATAAAATACATTTTGTAATATTTAAATTTTATTTAGCATGGACATAGTTGAAGGAAACTGACTGAGTGAGTATAATGTATAAGCTCTTCCCAATTGGGATTAAACTTAGGACTTCTTAAGAAGTTTTCAAGGTCAAATATACAGTATATATATTTAATTTAAGGTAATGCAATCTGTCATTGTTTTCGAATTTTTATTTATATAGAGCACATATTGTTTTAGCAACACTGCACAGTCTGAAAATAAAAGATATTAAAATAGTACAATGACATTTCATAACATTAATATATTATTTAACATACTATTTATAATTAATACAATTATAATTAATAAATAAAATCCTTTTGCTCCACTTTAATCAACTGCTTTATGTCAAAGAGTCTGCTAAATGTCTAAATAAAATGTTAAATGTTAGGAGATAATTCATAATGAACTGCTAAAATATACGTCACTGCTATTTAAACATCACAAGCGTACAGTCCATCACTACTGTGTTTGTCTAAAGAAAACTCCATGCAATTATTTGAAACTTACCAGCCAGTTCCAGCTTTATATGATTATATTCACAAATGTGTTATAGCTGAAGTGGGCATGTGGAGATGCCACACTATTTTTATTTTAATGGTCTGAAAAAATTTACCATCAAGTGGTCACATTTTGTTTGAGCAGAAACCCTCTCGAAATGCATGGAGGTAAAAGAAAATTCTCTCAAAATAAAAAGAAGGACAAAATGATTTTCATTCTTTACAAACACAAGCCACTAAACATAACCCTCACAAGACAGGACAGGACAACAACTAAACTGAACTGAACTGAACTACAATAGACAAGACTACACAAAAATATACATGCGTAATAATATTTTAATATCATTTAGCAGAGGCTGAAGGAAAGTGATTAAGTAAGTGTGATGTTTTTAAAAGCTGTTTTTAATTGGGATTAAACTTAGGACTTCTTAAGAAGTTTTTACGGACAAATAAACAGCGTACAGTCAGAAAATAAAAGATACTAAAACGTTTAAACAACAATAATAAAATGGAGTCTCAGTAGTGATTATTAAACCACACTGAACTGAGCTGAACTGAACTTAAACACTGCAAACTGAACTACACTGTTTCAATTTACTGTGATCTTTTATGTAAAGCTGCTTTTACACAATCTCCATTGTAACAGCGCTATACAAATAAAGGTGAATTGAATTGAAAGATATATCATAGAGGGTTAATAAAATACATTTTTAGTAGCTGTTAATACAATGAATGAATGAATAAATAAATAAATAAATAAAACTCTTTTGTTTTCTATAAAGTTTCCTTTGCTCAATAAACATGTCACTTTACGTAACCTTTTTTTTTTTGACACCAAAATAGTATCCATTTGCTCCTCTTTATATCAAAGAATCTGCTAAATGCCTAAATAAAATGTGAAAGGTTAGAAAAAGACTCACAATCAACTGCTAAAGTATATATCTGTGCTACTTAAACATCGCTGGCTTACCACTGTATTTGTCTCAAGAAAAGCCAAAATCCCTCTATATTTTTTAAACTCACCAGCCAGCGCCAACTTTAAATGATTATATTCACAAATGTGTTGAAACGGAAGTGGGCACGTGGAGATGTTACACTTCATTCATAGAAAGCTGAAAAATAGTTGGGAAGCATTATCGACTGTATAAAAATACATACTATACTGGTTGCGTTTTAATTGCTCATATTTGTGCTGAGACCTTCTCAAAATGCAGAGATGAAAAAAAAAAAAAAAAATCCTACAAAATAAAATAAGCGGGTCAGGGGGCACTGATTGTGTACATCTGATGAAGGTACTGAACTTATTGAATGGTCAGCTCCTGTTTATACACAAAGCATTAGTAGTAGGACATCAGGTCATCACACCGCTGCCACTTCATCAGTGTCGGGACAAAGGGCAGACGAGGGGGCGGATTTATGGCATCATACCACACAGATCTGCTAGGATTACTGCAACAACGTCACATGGTATTAGCCCTCTCATACAAAAGAGACTCTGGGTCAAAGAACGAGACGGCACTCTTCCGGCATCTAGTACATCTTCTGTTAGTCTACTTCTAACACGCAATGGCTGTTGGGAAGTGTGCATTTGTTCTGCATCATGATGTTAAATAGTGTGTAAAAGTTGTGTGTTTGAGTGTGTGTGTGTGTGTGTGTGTGTGTGTGTGTGTGTGTGTGTGTGTGTGTGTGAGAGTGTGTGTGTGTGTGTTTTGGTGTTAATATAAAGTTGAAGCCAGAATTATTAGCCCTCCCTAATTATTACATTATTAGTACATAATATTTTACTAGATATTTTTCAAGATACTAATATTCAGCATAAAGTGACATTTAAAGTCTTAACTGGGTTAATTAGGTTAACTAGACAAGTTTTAAGGCAAGTTTTTGTATAACGATGGTTTGTTCAATAGACTATTGAAAAATATATTGTTTAAGAGGGCTAATAATAATGACCATAAAATAGTATTAAAAAATGTAAAACTGCTTTTATTCTAGCCGCAATAAAACAAATAAGACTTTCTCCAGAAGAAAAAATATTATCCGACATACTGTGAAAAATATCTTAATCTGTTAAACAACATTTGAGAATTATTTGACAAAGAAAACTAAATTTTGACTTCAACTGTATGTGCATTAAAGTCAATAATGCTTACACAATTGGACTCTTAAGAGGAGATGAACTTGCACGTATTTAAGGTAAATGAGTAAAATGTCATGCCCTACATGTCTTTCCATGAGCCAATAATGTCGTCATTGGTTGCAATGTATGTGCTGCTTACTTCATTTCCTGATCTGAAGTGCTTTCTATCACATTCATGCCTAAATCAACCTGTGCCAGTCAGGTGGTCCTGAGTCACATGATAGAAGATGTGATTTTATTTGATAATGTGACATTAGTTGGACAGCTATTGGTACTTCAGTGTTAGATTCAAATTGATCATGGTTACATTTCTGGAATCCAAATTAAATATTCGATTCAATAAATGCTTTGGATTTTGCTTCCAGTTTGCTGAATATTGTTACTTCTTTATATGAATAATAATAATAAATAATAATAATAATACAAACAATACTGCGTCAAAAAATTAAATGTATTTGTTTATCTGGCAAGTAATTTCATCATTACAAACCAATTGCTATTTAAAAGGATAGTTCACCTCCCCCAAAAAATGTCATTACTCTACCCTGTTTGTTCCAAACCGCTTGACTTCCTTTTTTTTTTTTTGGTTGAAAAATCAAGTATTTTGAGTAGAGAAAATATATTATGACAGGCTTTTAATTTTTGAGTGGACTGTCATTTTAGGCTGACTGCAACTATTAAACCAATAACAATTTTATAATTTCAAGCTTGAGACAAATTAAGCTGAAACTTGTGGAAAATTAAATACAGTGTTAAAGGCTTACAGTAGTTTACCCAAATATGAACATTTACTCACTATTTAAGCTCCCTCAAGTGGTTCCAAACCTTCTGTGGAACACAAAACGAGACAGTTTAAAGGGTGATGAAACCCCCCCTCTTTCGGTTCAAGTCTAGCTCAGAATTAAGGCGTGGAGCAATGCGAGCGAGGGAGGAGTGGACGTGACTAGCAGAGCGAGGGAGAAAGAGGGGAGCGAACAACTGCTATCAGCTGGTTCACAAAATGAGACACAAACCGTAAAAAGACCCATTATTTTAGTCACTTTGAACGTTAAAATGCAAAGAAATAAAGTAATAGTCAGTAATTGAATGTCCTGCTACATTTGTTATTCCTATTTTTAATATACACATAACCACAATTTGTTATATCATTGTAAAGATAATCATGTAAACACTATAAATGAGGAGGACTTCTTGATCCCCAGGTCTGAATACAGACACAGTGGATACTAATGCAGCAGGTCTCTTGCCCCGTCTATTTCAAACATTAACCCTGCCGGTAATCCGGAGGATTTTAAACATAGGCGAACACAGCAGCACGCAAATAGGCCATGTGTCTGAACGGTAACAAACTCAACAGATAAAAGACAAAGTCCGCCATTCTGCCATTCTGTAATTCTCATACACCGATCTCGACAAAAATGCTTGCTGCGCACACAAACAGCTTTGCTGTATCGGCTCTGACAGCATCGTGGAGAAAAATAATGTGTGCCATCAGCGGACGCGGTCCCACCCAGTCATTGGGTCTCACAGCTTAGCAGGCCTGCCTTGCCTTCGAAAAGTACATGCGCTCATGAATAATTAGGAAGCAGGCTCTTCTCATAAGATAAGAAAACTTTGCTATGAATAATAATGAGAAACCGACGCGTCATCACTCCACTGGCAGATTCGCACTGTCACCGATTTTCATCCCACCCCAAAAATTGTTTTAAACCCGGAAGATGAAACTGGCTGACAAAAGCTCGAAATTATCCAGGTTTATCCACAATTAAAGCTGACAGGTGCTAATGTTGTCCTCATTCAGGGATTCTCAAAGGGCCTTCAGCAATCCTGCAGGTGCGCTGTGAGACTTAAAATTTACTCTTTATATTTCACTATCATTTTTGGATTTAAATATTAATATGCTATATTAAAATGATCAAACTACTGCACTTTTTCCTGTTCTCTGATTGATTACTTCAAACTCAGTGCGAAAACAGCCTCATGATCACGTCTGCAACTCGTACTCAATTTAATTAAATTCAGTCTTTATTTCTATAGCGCTTTTACAATGTAGACTGCGTCAAAGCAGCTTCACATAGAAGATTATAGTACACGCAAGTCTGTTCGTTCACAAACTATGCGTGAAGTAAATGTTTCTCTGTGTGTATTTTTGTGTGAACTATTTAATATATCCGCAGTTGTCCAAACTAATGTCCTTTGAGTATTTTATAACGGACGTGCACCCATACAGGAGGATCTAGCGAGGCTCGATGGTGTTTCTGCCATAGAATGTAATAAACTTGAATATGGGCTTCAGACACCCTTCGCTGTTCACTGATCCTATCAGCGATCTCCCAATAATATCCAGCTGCACACTCAACCGCCATCAGATCAGCGTTTCATCAAATTTAGCGTGCTTTACTGTATTTTACATTTGTCTGTATATTTTTGAATAGAACATAATTATTGGTAGATATTAAGTCAGTCCAATTTCAGTACTGCAGGGTTTCTTGAACCTATAAAGAAAGCTGAAAACCTGTACCTATTGACTTTGATATTGACATTTCAATATGTTTAATAAAAAAAAACATTATATTAAAACATATATCATCGATTATGACATAACATTGCGCATTGATTATATTTCCACATAATTACTAATATGAATTTTTCCATGAATGGCGACCTGTTTGAGCTCCACAGCCAGTTTTAAAGCACCCTAAATTTCCTAACCTTCAAAGGGACTGTTAAATGACTTTTTACGTAACATTATTGTAGTAAAACGGAGCACTATCTTGATTACTGATAAAACAATTAAACATCTTAAATCATCAAGTCATAAACTGAGTGTGTATGATCTGATTGTGAACTCTTACCGTTGTGGGACATGCCCACTGCAAGGCACTTGCGGAATCGGCAGTATTGACATTTGTTTCGGTTCTTCTTCTGGATCTTGCAGTTGCGTTCACACTTGTCGTACTCCAGTTTAAGTCGAATGGTTCTCCTGAAGAAGCCCTGTGGAAAAGGGCACAATAGTAAAGCAAACTTCTCATACAGTATAGCTGCTGGATTGTGATATACAACCAATTCAGAATGTAAACATGCTGTTAATATGAGGACTTTACCCTCTGAGGTCCAACAGAGAGCGGAGCCTATAAAGTGTCCTTGATAATCCTACATACTAACCTTACTGCATCAGCGATAAGACGGTTGATTCACAAGATCCCAATCTTTATTGATCAATTACAAAACATATCCATAAACAAACACAGATGGCTGGCCTATTTGAGCTTTTTAAATTATTATTATTATTATGCAAAGAGATACACAAATGATTCAAACTTCATATTTATGTATTTGAGCTTTACGTAGCGTATAAATACTGCATTTCCCTTTCAGGATTCTTTTTAATTTAACAACTAAATTGATCTACACAGGTATATGATCACATCAACTTTTATTGTAGCGATAATTGCTGAAGATTTTATTATGATATACAGTCGTAATATAATAGATAGAATGCAGAAGAGGTCACTTCAACAAGTATAATAACAGAAACAACTCTCCATTGTAGTGTTTTTGTGTTTTTTTACAATTAACAAGCATTTCAAATAATTAAACTGCAAAAGTATTATAAAGTACAATAGGTAAAACTTAACGTTAAGGTTTTATTAGTGAACGTTCATTAATGCGCTAACTAACGTTAACATTAATTATAATAATTGCTCATAATTACCATTTTAGCTTAGTTATTATTACCAAAACAGATCAACATTTATATCGACCGACTAATCAAACAATAAATAATAATAATAAACATTACCTAAGATCAAAAAGAAATGCCTTACAAGTACTTTTCATTGTTACTTTGAATTAAAGTGTGAAATTCAAATTTACAAAGTTTATTTTGTGATAGCACAATGTAATTCTTTAGCCAATCGTTTAATCCATGCAAGTTTATACACTGAAATAAAGTCTGTTTTGGTAATCTTCAAAGTCTAACTATTTGCTTCTGTGCTTTGAGTGGCATTCCAGTTGATTTCAGTGTGCTATACTATTGGTAACCATGCCCATCTTACTGTTAGTTTGCTGTGAGGAAATTATGTGCAAAAAGAAAGCTCTGCCGCCTACTTAATATTCCATTTCTTTTAGAAGTACATCAACATACTTAAATAAAATCTCTTACATTTCCCATGGACTTTAATTAACAATCTCAATCAAGCACTTTCTTAACAATAAGAGCCTTATAATTAATTATTATGAAACAAAAGGCTTATAAAGAATTGTTTCAATCTTTATCTCTGGGCAAGTCGTAGTCTATAGTATCATCATTAATAGCCTGTCTACAATACAAAGGGGTCTATTTTGATGATTCATGCGCAAAGTCCAAAGCCCAGGGCGCAAACGCAATAAGGGCATGTCAGAATCCACTTTTGCTATCTTAAGGACGGAAAAATCCGCCTTGCGCCGTGGCGCATGGTCTAAGAGGGTTGAGCTTATTCTCTTAATGACTTATAGGTGTGTTTTGAGAGTAAACCAATAAGAGTCTCATCTCCTATTCCCTTTAACAGTCAGTTGCGTATAGCGCAAATTTACTATTTACATGGCGGACTTTGTAAGTGGAAAAACTGAACGCTTCACTAGCGAGAAAACAGTTAAACAGAGCATCTACAGCACGACAATGAGAGATAAGCCTCCTCATTCTTCACTTTCGCTTTTGCTCTCGTGAATAGGGAAACTTGTTGTACGCAAAGACATCCTTTAGCCCTATAAATAATTAATTTTGTTTGTTAAGCGCAAAGATTTGTTTCAAAACTATTTCTAAGTTCAGTTCTAATTGCCAACAAACTAATAAACGACCAATAATAACGAAGTGTGTTCAAAAACCTGAGTTATACGAGTTATATATATATACTAGACCGGCTTTAATCTGGTCTATTGAACAGTCTATTATAGTTCCTCAAAATAGCAACGCGCCAGCAATGCGCCACAACACATCTCCTTTTTTAGACCAGACCGCCTATGGGCGCACATATGAGCGCAAATGCATTTGATATTTAAACAGCGTGGCGCAAAACATCAAACGACTCTTGCGCCAAGCTGAAACCAGCAAACAACAATTGCGTCACGTCTAGCGCCAAATTGCGCCGGGTGTATGATAGAGCCCATGTTGCATATGGAAAAGTCGATAAAATGCTCGCACGTTTGTGCAACAATACACTATTTTGCTTGAATAGCCCGTGATGCCCTTTAAGGTTGCAAAACTGTGTAGAAATGACACCTTTTATGGTAGTCTATTGCACATTTTCTGATGCTTCAGTATGAACGCACATCTGAATGCGTTCATTTCTGCTCCTAACAATATGATTTAGCAGCTACAACAACCGTGACAATCTCTTAAAAAGAACGACTCACAAAATGAAATTTTTGGATTCTTGCCTGATAAGACTGAAAAAAAACAACAGATTAAAAACAGAACACACTGAAACAATTTTGACCTCTTCATACAGCCAAATTTTGTTGGAAAATGGCCTTGTTGTGACTAATTTCATTCGGTATTATTTGTATCTTTATTTTAATGTACCTTTTGTTTATCAGTTCTCTACTAAATGCATTTTAGGTCAAGCAATAGACAAATGCTCCATTCAATAATAGGATGACTATGAATTCAATTCAAGTAGGGTTATTATAACATAAAATACAAAATTTCTGACCATTTGCTTTATTTCATATATTTGAGTTATGAATTACAGTATCGTACCGTATTGTATCGTACTTTTCATGCTGCTTCAGCTGGTATTGTATTGTAACGTGAATTAATGGTATCGCAAAAACCCTAGAACACCACAGCATTTACAACAACCTAAATACTCCTTAAAAGCACAGTTAGAAATGTCTTGCATGTTCATCATCACTGCATGTCGTACTACTGAATCTAGAAATGAATGTGTGACAGAGATGCATGCATAACTGTCGCCACTGGCCTGCTTGGTTTGGGATTTGTGCGCATCGATGGATTTGCTCTTCAGTGTTTGGACTTTCAGCTGTAAAAATTAAACCACACTGAACTAAACTGAACTAAACTGATATTCAACTCTGTAAACTGAACTGACAAGGTTTCAGTTTACAAGAACTTTTATGTTAAGCTGCTTTGACACAATCTACATTGTAAAAGTGCTATAGAAATAACCATGAATTGAATTTTAAAAACTGCTCAGTCGAAATCTAAAAAAAAAAAACATGTACACAAAATACAGATATGGAATATTGCTATTTATCTTTCAAACACTAAAGCAAGAATAACCGTAATGAAATACACTGCCTATCACACTTTTGTCATTTAAATGTACACTGTTGGTAAGATAAGTGTAATAAGGGTCACGGTTACACCACAGAACTCCTGTGTCCATCAAGGCAAGTAGGAAAAGCCAAACATGTGCCTGACAATGGAAACAGGTATGAGACTAGAGCTCGGTCTCATGACAGACGCTCACAGATCTCAGTGCTAAAAACAGAACCCATGACGCATCTGTACGCTCTGAACATACCGAATGACAAAACCGGGCTGAGGAAACAGATCATCACTGTACAGACCTAAATACCAAGCAAATGCAGACGCAGCTTCCGTGTTGGTGGTGCATTATTTCCTAATGCTCCTAAAAACCTTGGGAAGTGAAGTTTAAAATATATCTGCATCCTACAAATGACTCGTTTGTTTGTCCAGATTTGTCCAAATCAATTTTCGAGGGAAAAAAATTCATATTTCACAGTAAGCTGCTATCAATAAACATTATTAATAGCATCCATCTGATAACAGCTTTTTAAAAACTTTTGTTTAAGCCCTATTTAGTGATAGTGTCTCCATATACTTACAAAGTGCTAAAATAATAAGACATTTTTTTATATAATAACTAAAGTTAAGCCTCCTTACAAAATTTTTTTTTTCATTTCTATAGCTCATCACATAAAATAAGCATTGTGGTTAACAACCTTATGCTTTTTACATGTATTGTTCATCAAGACAATCTACATGAGCTTTTCTGAAAAACCTGTTTAGTGTTTACGTGTAAATAAATATTGGTTGACATCTACTACACAGGGTTCCCACTCTTCAGTGACACCAGATTTTAGCACATTCGCTGACTTTTTAAAGCAGCATTAATTTTTAAATCAAGCTCCTCTGGTGTTCATACCCCAACATATGCAGTGTGATTAAACTTCTTACTGTTACACTTAATATTTATACTCTTAATACTTTTCATTAAGAGTACTTTTAGAAAAAATTTAGACCATTTTAAGGTTGGTGCAATTTTGATCAAATGTACATTATTAGTCAATGTTATTGTACAATATGTAAATGCAAGCTTTTTCAATTGAACATTTTTTAAAAGTACAATTGTTGAGATAACACTATAATCATTTTGTTTTATTTTTGGTATTTAATTGAAGCACTTTCAAGGATCTATGTTTGTTTTTATACTTTCCAAGCCTTAAAGCCATATGTCTGAAATTCAAATACTTTCAAGAAGTGTGAGGACCCTCACTATAACACACAGTGGCGGATCTCGGCCGGTGCCCCCGTGTCAACAAGTTTGGTAATAAAGATAATAAATTTTTTTTACTTCAGTCATGTTCATGTTGTGAAAAACTATTAAAATGTCTACTGTTGATTATATTAGACTTTTGTTTCCAATAGCGATTATACAACTTTAAATATAGGAAGTCCTGTGAAGATTCCCTCGGTTTGTTATAGATCACTTGGAAAACATTATTTTAAATTAATGGAAGGGGGGAAAAAAACTGTATGTTAAAGTTTACAGGTGCCAAACTGTGCCTTGATGTAACAAGAATCAGTCCAAGGCACTCGAGTAAAGTGAAAAAATTAAAAAGCCTTTATTCACATGGCTAGATCTCTAAAAACCAACGCGTTTCGGCAGAAGTCTGCCTTCATCAGGGTAACAGTGATCAGGTGCGTCTAGAGTCTCTTTTGAGTACTACGGTCACATGACTCATTTAAACATCTCAAATGGCACTCAAATAATTTAACAAGCAAACTCTACTACCATCATAAATTCGGCATAGATACACAAACACCCACTTGCATATGTGGGAAAAGAGAGAGAGAGAGAGAAGAAAAAAGAATATATATATATACATACATACACATATACGTATATATACATACACATATACATATATATACACATACATACATACATACATACACATACATGTATACAATATATACACATACATGGAAAATACATACATACATATAAACACATACATCAATGTATAATGACGATCTGTAAAGCATCTATAGAAAAACTCATTTAATCATTCATTTTCTTATCGGCTTAGTCCCCTCATTAATCCGGGGTCGTCAAATTCTTTTTAGACACAGGAAAGTTGAAGGTATTTTTGAGCAGTCATCATTTTGTGTGGCTTCATTAGCTGCTGTCATTTATTTACTATAAAACAACATTGGGGGTTTTACAAAAATCTGGGGGTTTTTGCACCTCAAACCTCATAGTTTTTTAGACTATGGAAATTTAGATCTAATAAAGCAAGACTCAACAGGCAGAAAAGTACATTTGATTGCTTTTTTCAACAAAATTACCAAACACTTAGAAGCACTTTGTCTCTGCAGACACTTATGATCCAACTAAGTGTTTAGTACTGAAGGCCCTTTTGTGTTACACTAGATGGTTTAAATATGGAGCAGTTTACCAATAGGTACATTTTTGGAATAAAAGGCTTTAATCACATTTTAACATGTTCATAGTAATTTAATATTTTATTTGAAAAAATATTCCAAATCTCTTTTGTCAAATGTTATTTTGATTTGTTGTTAAACTAAAATTAAATATTACAACTATTTGTTTTTATGTAGTTTGGTTTAAACAAGCACATTATAATAAGTGATAATAAGGTAACTGATATGTCTATTTTCCAGCTTTCTAAAACGCTAGTTGTCATGTGAATAATTGAGTGGTAACGTTTTAATATCTTTACATTAAAAATGCATCAAAAATCTTGCTTGTCATTTTCAGAGTGCAAAATCATGCACAAGACAAATGTCCAATCGTTGTTCCAAGTTTACATGGAAGAACAGTTTTCAGCTTTTGTTTCTTAATACATCATAAGTAGTTAGGACACGGTGTAAAAATCTCACATTATATGATTAACTAGCACGAAAATTAGTTCAACAAGAGGCACATAAACCAAGAAAGCAGTGACCTGAACTGAATAAAGATGGTGTATGGTGATCCTGCTCGTGCAAGAACAGCTTCATACAATATTTGATTAAACCACCATACAATTGCACCTACCATGATTCCTTAAAGGCCACCTATAATGAAAATCATCTTTTAGGAGCTGTTTGGACAGAACTGTGTGTAGGTACAGTGTGTCCACAGTCATATGGGGGTGATAAAAACACAATGAGTCTCTTTATTTTTTAAATTCTTCTCTCATTTTGAGGCCCATCACAATGTGACGTAGAAGTGCAGTTATCTCACCCACCAAATTGATTGACAGCGCGTACTAACATATCTCCATAGTAACGCATATAATCATGTCCATAAGACAGGACGTGCGCAAAGCAACCGGGATTAAAAGATCTGTTCAGCTCGCTGTGATTATCAATCATCATGATTATGATCAAGAATGAGTTGTACAAGCTTAAAACGTTTTAAAAATTAAACCGTCTTTATTACCACAGCCGCGGGTCAGTACAATTAAAAGAAGGCGCTACAATCATCATTTGACGACGTTAAATCAGGTTTATTGTGTACATTAACATAACGGATGTCCATACAGCAGTGGATATTAACGTGTCTCCAGTGACATTGGCCGTGCAAAAAAGAGTGCATAGATAAATGCGCGCGCTGTGTGCATTATTAATGCATGAGGTTTATAACGACATTGTGTGCGACTCAACTTGCGGTATTACGTCCAAAACAAATACATAAAATAATAATTGGAAAAGATCTTACTGTACTATTTCTCACAAACATTACGTGAGATCTGCTTCCTTCATGTCTGTCATTGTGCTGTTTATCTGATGCAGCCAGAGATCGAGGAACACTCTGACAGGCACAAGGGAACCCCAAAAACAGCTACAATACATAGTGTTCGGAGCAGAAAATTCAATATACTGAAACGTATAATAAATAATCTGTTGGGTGTTTTGACCTGAAATTTTACAGACACATCCTGGAGACACAAAAGACTTATCCTAAATCTTAACAAATGGGTAAAATAGGTGAGAAACCTAAAAAAGAGAAACGTATATAAAGATTTTTTTAGTCTCACTAAAGTGCTACATAAGCGGTAAACCACATCAGCAATAAACCTTCACTTGTAATTGTCCTGGTCTAATTGCACTCTAAGGGGTGCCAACGGTCAAAGTCTGCTCTAGCTGAAAAAAGAAAAACACATAGCACATGGCAATATCTGGGGTGCCACTAGTTACCTTTAAAAGCAAAAAGAGCGGCCGTGACCCATGCTCAAATCACCCATGGTGTGTTGTACTAAGGTAAGTCCTTATGATGAATTTGGCTAAAGCACATGAAGCAACAGCTCTTCTACACGCTTCACCTCACCTTTACAGAGGGGGAACAAGCCTCGAGGGAACGTTATGCAAAAGCAGCTATGAAAATACCGCAGGAACTCATGTGCTTTCTGTCGAGCCAAGTGTTTTGTGTCCCGGACAGATTTGTGCTTATGAAAGTGTAACACTACCAATGGCAATCAGGACAAAAAGTTGTGTGCTGTTTTGATATTGACTCCTGGCACTGGTGAGACAATTTTCCACTGTGCGCGTTGCATACTCGCTTACCTTGCACCCTTCACAGGCATGCACTCCGTAGTGGAAACCTGAAGCCCGGTCGGCACAGACGCGGCACTCGAGGGTGAGAGATCCGGATGAGTTCTCGTCCTGACCCGTGCTGGCTGAGAACACTTCTGAGGACGGACTAGACGCCGGAGTTAAGACATCTACGAGACAAAAGCACATATCCAGTCGGTTTCACACTTTAATACTGACCCAGATGCGTTTCAGATGTTTACTCTTACAAATTTTGCTTAATAGACGAGTCATTAAAACCGTTTTTAATCGTTTGTATGTTTCTGTGCAGCTTTTGAGTAGTTTTAAGTAAGGGGACATTGACATTTTAGTTGTTACACCTCGGGTGTGCCTTATTTTATAATAATCATATGGCTTATATGGTTACCACACTAAAAGACATTGTGCACATGTTATGTTGTAGTTGTCCTCAAACTGCTCAGCTGTGGGACTAGTTTCTTACACATCTTATACAAAATCTTGTGCTTTACCTTGATTTGGCTTTTAGCATTTAACAATAAGGTTTCACATCGTTAAAGGTTAAAACTTGCTCGTTTGTTTGAAATTGTGCAACTATTTTTAATAGCGTAAAATGAATGCAAAAAAAATCTTTGCTCTTGATTATTGTTAGGATAGTGTTGTTTATATGCTCTACCTAATATCGATGAGTTGTCTACTGCAGTGTCACAGTTCTGGTAGTCCAGCATGTGAAAGGAGTTGAAGGTGTCGTCGCTGAGAGACTGAGAGATGTCCTCCAGCACCTGCATGTCACCAATGAGCTCTCCGCTCAGAGGGCTGTACATAATCGGGTCTCCCAGAGGGGACGAGGGACTGTAGAGGCTCGGCATATCTACCATGGCGCTGGACCACGGCAAGATTTGAATCAATCATCAGTCTGGAAAGACAAAACAACAGACAAGCACCTTTAATGACTTTTAAATGTTTTTGAAATGCCAACATGGTGTAAGTGACATGATTTTCATTGGAATCGGCCAACAGTTGTTTAATAAAATGGTTTAGACCAAAATAAAATCGTATCATTGCATCTCTAGTTGAGAGGCAGTTTGTTTGTTGCTGGAATTGATTAGTATCCTGAACAATTAATTTACGGTTAACCTTCACTCTTAAAAATAACACTTCTTCGTTGACATTGACGGTTCCAAAAGGAATTTGAAGATCTTAACATATAACTTTATATTCCAGAAAATGGTATTTACAGTGAAATAAAAGTTTATTAAAATGTTCTTCACCCTAACGAATTGTTAAAAAACATTTTAAGGAACCCAAAATGGTTCCTCTCAAACAGTTCTAAAACTCTGTTTTGGAGCATTTTTACAGTGTGTTTGTTTCATACACCACGTGGACAAAGGCATTATGACACACCTGAAACTATTGAATTGAGGTGTGTTAACCACACCCACTGCAATTAGTGTATAGAATCAAGCACCTGTCCTTGTGAGCTGCATAGACAGTTCTTCAAACATAGGGAATAAGATAAGTTGACACCATTGCTATAGGTGACATTATTAAAATGTGGAAGCATTATGGACAAGCAGCAAATACAAACCGTTTCAAACTTTGCAGTAAAATTCATAGATTTATAGAATGAAATATACTTTGATTTTACTACATTTTTTAACTGGCTGTAAACAATTTATTTGGGGTGAATTTAAACAAACAATTTAAGATGAACATTGTTTTATCATTGAACATAATTTTAAGTGCATGGCTGAGCAATGCAAAGCAACAGCATACCAGCATCACTTCAACAATTACATTGTCAAGTCTTAGAAAGAAGAACATACCTGTCCGTATACAGCTATAGGTTATGTGGAGAAGGGGTAAGGGTATGAGGCTTTTTTTCAGGGTTTAGGCTAGAAGGCCCATTACTTCAAATGAAGAGAAAATATTGAATTTTACTCACAAATACATTTTGGAAAAATGTCAGTTTGTTTCCCAAACAGTTTGGGGAAAGTTCTTTCTGATTGTGCACCAGTGCACAAATCAAAGATGTGATTACACAAGTTTGTTAAGTATTTTGACTGGGGTTTTCATCAAACACTTTAGACATCAACTGGAACAAATATACTCATAAATGCCTATCAGTGTCTGACCTCAAAAACTGTCTATTACACAAAGAGAGAAAACACTAAAAAACAAACTTGTAAAAAGCTTTCCCTGAATAATAATAGCTATAGCTGAGAGGGGACCAACCTTACGTTAATGTCAAAGTATTTAGAACCCAATATCGTTTGAAATCTCTGTTTCACTGCCTTGTGCTCATGTTGTCGATTTGATTAAACAGCCCGGTTAGGTTGTGATAATAATGGAGAGTCAGTATGTACTTGGTATGCAAACTGCAACCTGCGCTCTGTGAAACTATAGTGTCTGGAAGAAAGTCCATTCAAAGCAACGCTAAACGAGTGGCAAACTTAACGTGTTGAGGAAAACGTTACCACAGAAACACCGGCCTCAGTTATCACAGTGTCTTATTCAGACACGAGGGCACCGTTTCAAAGGCTTTGGCCTGTTTCATCACATGAATTCACAGGAATTCCTCCTGCCATGGGAACTTCTCAGAGAGGTCGAGCGAGTGCTTCAACGACTGTGGGGTTTTGAAGGGTGTGTCTAGGTCAAAAGCAGTTAAAGAGATCATCGTGACTAAGACCAAAAAATTAATTCCTAAAACAAAATGAAGCCTGCACAAAACAGCTGATAATAGTAATGTTGGCCTGTTTAGTGTTAAATATGTTCAATCCAAGCATTTGATGAAATATAATAATAATTATTGATGCATCAAATGTGTTTCTGAACTTTTCTCTTTTAAAATAGGTCACTTTTAAAATGCCAACATGGTGTAAATGACAACTGTTTTCATTGGAATCATCCAACAGTTGTTTAATAAAAATAGTTTAGACCAAAATAAAATCGTATCATTGCATCTCTAGTTGCGAAGCAGTTCGTTTGATGCTGAAATTGAAATAAGTTTTCACAACAAAAGAATTAAGCACTCAAATGGTTTCAGAAGCTCTCCGGGGAACTTTTATGGCAGCTCAAGGGGTCTTGTGCATAACTGTTATAATGGCATCCCACTCAACCCTTTAATTTCTTACAGCAGTGACACGGAAAACACTAACCAATGCCAGACTCGGCAATCAAAATCTTTTAAAATGGACTAAGAAGTCACAATACACTTTACCTTCAATGTAACAGTGTAAAGAACAAACGCTTTACCTCTGCTGCAGTGTCATCTGTGCTAAAAAAAGTAGTAGAAGGTAGACAAGCTGTTCCTGCTGAATCTGGTCATAAATCAGCATTTGGCAGAGAATCACATTTTCCAGCTTTGTCTGTTAGAGGAAGCTGTCCAGCTTTCTAAAGTTGTACCTGATTTCTCCACTCTGTAGATTTGACTCGAGTGGAACAGCCAAAATCTTAGCCAGCTGTTCGCATCTCTCGGTTTCCAGCTGTTGAAACTATCTGAAACCTGAGCTGAGACTCAACTCGCTGGTCAAAACCTGCAGACGCTGCAAAACAATCTTTCCTCACTCACACCTTATTCTGACCTGACAAAACAAGCACAGACAAGTGCAGCGACAAAAGTTTCTACTACAGAACATATGGACTTTTGTTTTTTGGGGAGACAACTTTTTATAGAACAAAACTTTTTTATGTTTAATCTACTTAAATTTGTAAAAACTAATAAGCTTACTTAAATAAGTTAATTAAGGAATTCCTTCATGTCATCCAAATAAAAATCAATTGTGTGGAACACAGTCTTTTTTACAGTGTACACTCAAAAAATGCTGTTTTTTGCTGTTTGTTCAAAATACTTTTTTCAAATGAGTTCAACTAACACAGTTTTTGAGTTTTTTGGAGAACTTAATTGTTTTATATGATCTATCTATCTGTCTATCTATCTATCTATCTATCTATCTATCTATCTATCTATCTATCTATCTATCTATCTATCTTTGTCTGTCTGTCTGTCTGTCTCTTAATGAAAAACATTCAAGGTAAATTGTCTAATTTCTGAATTCAAATCTCTTGATTCTTTATTTCTTACATTTCTCTCAAACATTAAAGATTTTATTTTTCATTTCATGTTTGTCTTTTTTTCCACAGTTTTAAAGTAAGGTATATTTCAATTAATTCTATATTATGCAGTTAGATTTTGTATCTTGCAATTCTGGCTATTTTCCTTTCAATTCACATTTTTTTTCTTTAAACCAGACAAATTGAAAGAAATATCGGATGGGGATTGAAACAATCAGTCTGATAAGATATTTATTCAGACATACAAGAAAAGTCTGACTAAAAGAAATTCTGAATTATATAGATTTGTATATTTTGTTGTCTCCAGGTATATTCTGTTTTCTTTATTTTGTGATGCAATATTATGGTTTGTTTTAGTATTTTCGCTTTGAATATCTAAATTGTATAATTTATAAATGTGCAAGTTTTTTTTGTTTTTTTCTTGTTGTGAGATAGTAGGAGATCATGTGATCCAGAAGTATACAAAAAGGAGCACCTTACTGTGATGATCACTGATGAAGAGCCGTGTGCTCGAAACGTTACACACTTTGTGTGAGCCTTTTTAATTTAATAAATTTGCATTTTTGGAGCTTTGGTGTTGCAGCTTTTTTGAATATATAATTTGCACTTTTTGTGTTTTGGCTGAGCACCCAGTTAAGAGTGATGTGCTTGCTTTTGTACATTTTTTAATTATATAGAGCAATAATTAATTCTAGAGGACACTCAACAGACTATATAAGATTAAAATGGGAACAGGAAATAAGCATTATTTTGAATCAAAATCAATGGGTTAAAATATGTGCTGTCCCACATACCTTAACAAGGTTAAGACTGTGGCATGAGTTTTGTTGGACAAATTTGATTAGTTTTTTGATTACACTAAAAATTAAATCATTACATGGGTGGAAGAGGCACATCATGTGCATATATTCTAGTAGTGCTCAAGAATTGATAGCTTTTGGGAAACTGTGCATTCTGCCATCAAATATATTTTTGATCTTCATATTCCTACATTGTTCAATGTACTTTATCTAGGAGATATTGCTATTAAACTTGAAAAGGAGGATAGATATCTAAGATATTATTGCCAACAAGTAAAAAATCTATAACCTGGAAATGGTATAAAGAAGACCCACCACCTAAAGACGAATGGTTCAAAATAATAGCAGAAATTGAAGAAATTGAAAAATTAACATGTGCACTTCAATTACGAAGAGTTTTTAGTACCAAGTAAATGGCTGGAGTTTCAAGAGATTATGTATCATTGACAAAATATGCTTGGCAACCTTTTACACTATTTTATATTTATTCTTTTTATTTTGTTGATGAGGTTAATTTAGTATGTTTGTGTGTGTGTGTGTGTGTGTGTGTGTGTGTGTGTGTGTGTGTGTGTGTGTATGCATATATCTACAATACTAAGTATAAAAAAATGTAACTGGTCAAATTATGTCCAAATGGCAATAAGGTGCATTTAATTTTGCTAAGAAATCTTTAGTCAAAAAAAAATCTCAATTTTAAGAATAAAATCTGAGTAGTGAGATAGTAATTCACAATTGTGAGATATAGGTGGGGGGATTGAACAAGCTTTAGTTTTCTAGAAGACAAAAAAGTCAACAACAATAAAACTGTCACAATATAAACAAGATTATGCAATGTTCTTGCCTTTAACCGATCCGCATTTGTGCATGTAATTGTGTCTCAAGATGTGAGACAGAGTGTGATAAGCCCAGGCTACTATATTTATTCAGTGTAAACCCAGACATTCACATGTTCACGAATACACATGACTTGAGCCTCATGACGGTGAACAGGAGCCAAAGGGAAGTGTAGGAGAGATGCCAGTTTCTGCTGTAATGGAAACGA